CGCCCCCCCACACCCCCGACCACAGACCATCCACACCTCTAGCAGTTTTCAGGCCAAACCTGCAGCATGAAATTTTTTTTCCCCACCTGGTTTCTGTTCATACTAACCCATGTCTCTCTGAGCTCACACCCGGCACAGGCATCCGGACCACACGCCACCTCCTTCCTCATCTCAGGCTTCCACGAATCTCACTCTAGATCAGACTTCTCAGCTTCAAAACCCACTCACATTTGACTTAGGGTTTTGTTACCCCTCATTATTTCTCCTCTTGTCCTACTTGCTCTGAAAACTTAAAGGCAGGAAGGCACTGAAGCCATGCATTGCCCATAAGCACAAGGAGAAGGCGGCCTCTGCCCTGGCCATCACTCCGGGTGTGTGTGTGGGGTCCCTGTCACATTCACGGACGTTACCTAGTCTGTCGTCTCACCCTAAGCTCAGATGCCCCAGTAGTTTGTGCAGCTGGCCTGTGACCCACAGATCTCCCCCACATCTTGAGCTTTTACCCAAAGACTTGCCCTCATTGGAAGTCAAGCCATGTAGCCAGGACCTCCAGGGACCCCAGTGCTGAGCTGGCAGGTCTGCGTGTCCAGGGCTGCCCAGTCCCCGTTGGTCCTCGCCGAGGCTGTAGGTGCGAACTTGGTGTCATTCTGGTCCAGGCAGCGTTGGCCTGGCCGGGCAGGGGACCTAATGCGCGTGCCACTGACACGTCCACGTGTGTCCACGTCCGCGGGGTGCGGGTCGTCTGTAACCCACTAAAGCGCCGGCCGCTCCCCGCTTTAGTAACCCGCTAATCACACGGCCCGGGCGTGCCAGCCAGGGCCCGGGCCGGTTGACGGTACACAGTTAATGGCACACAGGCTTGGAAGCGATAAATCGGTGGACACCCTCCGGCGTTTCCAAAGCCGCAGAGCCGCGAGGGTGGCCGTTTAGATGAGCTTGGCAAGGAAGCGCTCCCGAAGACGTCCGCGGCCAGGAGGGTCAGAGCCGCTGCCCGCCTGGCTGTGCCCGGGCTGCCAGGCACCGCGACCGGCCAGCACGTGACGGGGAAGGCCCCGGCCCTGTCCTTGTTCGGGGGTAAATAGCCCGCGTGGTGTTGAGTGACTGATCGGCTTCTGGCTCCTTTAACACGAACTCCATCCCACTCACCATCCGACTCGGGCAGATGTGGTTTCGGTCTTGGCCTCATTTCCTTCCAGCTCTTATGTCCCGAGTCTAACTGGGGTGGGAGCCGTGACGTGCATGCCCGTCGCCCCCGTTTCTGCATGTGTTGATGGCGATGTGTGGGGCTGGGGGGCCCGGGGCGTCTCCGCAGCCTGCGGGTCCCCTCCTGTCTCGCCCCGGGGGGATGCGTGTCCCTCTGACAGCGTTTGTCTGTCCATCTTGTTTGTGACTGCCCCTCTGCTTCTCCTGGCCCTTGTGGTGCTGTCCTTGGTTGTAAGGTGGCTGCTGTATAACGTCCACTCTCTCTCATACTTCTTCTGTGTGACAGTGACTGTCGTCCTCTGTTTTTTAAAGTCCCCATACGAGGCAAGGACCAGAGTCATGTCAGAGAACGCGGACTGGTCCGACGAGCAGAGTGCAGTAAAACTCACGCTGGCGTCTCGCTTGTTCCTGTCTCCCCGTCAGTGGGCGGCCATTAATCCACCCCAGCCTCTAATGTCCCTGGTGCCCTGCTGGCTTTGTGGGTCGCGCTGGTTTTACTGTACTGCCTCGCTCCGGGCCGGCATTTATACACAGCCACGTGTGCGAGTCCGAGTGGGTGTGCCCGCCCCCGCGGCTCCCCGGTCACTCAGTGGCCTGTCCCCTGTCCCTAGATGGCCGACACGGCGGACACGGGCGAGATGGTCAATGGCGCTGCCGAGCAGAGAACGAGTTCCAAGGAGGCCAGCCCCATCCCCTCCCCGACGTCCAACCGCAAGGCCAAGACCGGTCTCCCGGCGCAGAGCTCGGCCACACTGCCCGCCAGGACCCAGGAGACGCCGCTGGCACAGACGGAAGGCTTCCTGAACAGAAAGCACGAGTGGGAGGCCCACAACAAGAAGGCCTCGAGCAGGTACCGGGGGCACTGGGCAGGGATGGGCACAGGGCAGGGGTGGGCACAGGATGGGTGGACACAGGGCAGGTATGAGCATAGGGCAGGGATGAGCACAGGACAGGGGCGGCCACTGCGCAGAGGTGGGCACAGGGCAGGGGCGGCCACTGCGCAGAGGTGGGCACAGGGCAGGAGTGAGCACAGGACAGGGGCGGCCACTGCGCAGAGGTGGGCACTGCCCAGAGGTGGGCACAGGATGGGTGGACACAGGGCAGGTATGAGCATAGGGCAGGGGTGGCCACTGCGCACAGGTGGGCACAGGGCAGGAATGGCCACTGCACAGGGGGTCAGGCCCAGGGAAGAGTCACAGGACAAGTGGGAGGGCACAGAGCAGGGGTGGTCACTGAGTAAGGGGCCGGGCACTGGACAAGAAGGCACAGGGCAAGTGGGTGAACATTGGGCAATAAGGCACAGGGCAGGGGTGGTCACTGAGCAGGGGTCAGGCACTGGGAAAGAGGGTCGCTGGGCACAAAGGCGCGGGCCAGGCCACTGCTGTAGGGCTGGAAGGGGGCTTGTGTCCGTGCGCTCCGTCAGCCTCTCTGGGTCTGGGGCCACTGCATTTTTCTGATCAGGCGTCGAACACTCTTGATCTCAGAGAAGGGAGAGGTGAGTGTGGTGGGCAGGTGGTTGAGACGCCAGAGGACCCTCCAGATTCCATCTTGAGGTTTCGCAGGTTTGAGGCTGAAGGGTCCTGTCCACCTTGGGCAGAGGGAGCTCGTTATAGGACATTTGATGGATTTCCAGTGAGTTCCCTGAGTCTAGCCTGTCTTCATTCTCATCCTCTACAACCCTCTTTCCATGATCTGCATTTTACAGACAAGGAGAGGCAAGCTCACTCACTGTAGAAATGTAATAAATGGCCCACACCCGAATGGAGACTTGTTATTTTGCTCAGAAGCCTGTGGACTTAGGGTAGTAAACCTGGGGTCACCGTGTGGAGTTGTGCAGGGACTGAGCAGGGGATCCTAAGGCCAGCCTTCATAGGATAGCACAGACACATACGCTGTTAGAGACAGGTGGGAAGAGAAGGTCTTGCCTTCCAAAAATGTTGCCAGGTCACAGAGAGTGACACTGAGGCTGGTCAAGGAGAGGCGAGGTTCAAGTACGGAGCCTAGCCTGTCGCCTAAATCCCCAGGAGGCCCAGACACAAATAAACGAGCACTTGCTGGGGAGAGGCTGTATTTATTAGACAAGGAGATGAGGCTTTCTGAGACCCCTACGTTGTCCTCCTGGTCCTGCCCCACACCTCTCCTGAGGGATTGGTTTTAGGAGAAGTGTGGTGGTATGGTTAGCGCTGCCCTGTCACGTCTGGTCAAGTTCGCAGTGACCGGGGTGCACAGCAGGACAAAACGTCTCGCAGCCATGTGCCGGCCTCACAGTCAGTTGTGTCTTTGAGCCCCATGGTGCAGGCACTGCGTCAGCCCATCTCCCTGAAGGCTGCCTCGTTTTCACTGTTGACTTGACTGAGCGTGATGGCCTCCTCTCGGGACTGGTCCTTCTGCTAACATGCCCCAAGTGCAGGAGGCGAGATCCTCCATCCTCACTCCCAAGGGGGCTGCTGGCCGCAGTACTCCCGGAAGAGTGAGCTTCACCGCAGCGTCTGGCACAGGGTGTCTGGCTTCGAAACGTCACTGTCTCTGTGGCCGCCGCCTCCCCACCACTGTGCAAGGATCACGCACTTACTTGTCACTCCCGTGATTCTTCGAGGCCGCTTGGTACAGAACCTAAGACGTCTCTCTCTTTACCGTCCACAGGTCGTGGCACAACGTTTACTGCGTCATAAATAACCAAGAGATGGGTTTCTACAAAGATGCAAAGACAGCGGCTTCTGGGATCCCTTACCACAGCGAGGTCCCCGTGAGCTTGAAGGAAGCCGTCTGTGAAGTGGCTGTTGATTACAAAAAGAAGAAACACGTCTTCAAGCTCAGGTGAGGGCTGAGGGGCACCTGGGTGCCAGGGGCGGCCTCTTTAGACCCCAAGCTGGGGGACAGTGGCTTGGGGCCCATCTCCACAGGATGTCGGCGGGGCTGCGGCTGGCCAGCGCCTTCCCGGTCGTCAGCTGGCCAGCTGAGCCTTGAAGAAAAAGGAACTTTTGTTCTTATAACCTGGAACTTCCTGTTCCTAAGCTCTTCACACTTCATAGCTCACGGGGAGTCTAGAAAAGTAGTGTCCCATCCTGAAGTTCATTTAGACCATGGAGACACCTCCTTGGCTCACGTGTTACCTGGAGATGGGTCAGATGAGTGGAGACACCCAGGAAATACCTGTGGGGCCCAGTGCCTTGTCCTCCCTGACTGTCCCCTCAGATGTTCCCACCAGCTCTGGAACCATCCTTTGTCTCCACCCCCCTAAAACCCATCCCCCTCCCTGCAGGGTGGACCCAAGGTCACAGGTTTCACCAGGAGCAGAGCCAGAAAGTCAGGTTATGTCTTACAAATACAAAACAGTGCACATTTTCTAAGCTGTGTTTGCTCTGCCGCGTTGGGATCTGACAAGCTCTGGTCTGCGGTCACACGTGCATCTCACGCTGGCCGGCCGGGCCGAGGACTGTTGAGTGCACGTCTCGGGCTCCGTGATGTGTTAGCCCTTGGGAGGAGCAGGGCAGGCATTTTTGTCAGGACAGGCCCGAGCCAGCTTGCTACCTCCCCTTCCTGTCCGTGCAGCTCCAGGGAAAATTTTCCGGGAGCACATTTTTGCTGCTTCCCCCTCTAAGAACAGCACCCCTTCCTGGTGACTGCCTCTTGGTGGCACATGGTGGTCCTGCAAATACGGTGTCTTTCGTTCTGCAAAAAGACATGAGAGAACAGAAGTCTAGGAGACCTTTTCCGAACGAATCTCCAGAGGCATCGTAGGTGTAGGGTTTGATCTCAGTAGCTGACTTTCCGAGGGGCTTCAAAGTTCCAGCACCCAATTGCTCAGTTAAGCCCTTAACTCCTACCTGAAAAGTCCACCCCACCCCACCCCCCAGTGGTGGGATTTAGGGGGGATTTGCTTGTTAGCTTTGCTTGTGTTTGAGTTAAATCTGTGACTTAGTTTCTTCTTTCAAATTACAGACTAAACGATGGCAATGAGTACCTCTTCCAAGCCAAAGACGACGTAAGTGCCTGAGGCCCCTTTCCCTGAGCACGTAGACCCCAGCGGCTCTGGGGGGTGTTGGGGCGCTTACACTGTGACACAATCAAGAAAGGGAGCCCTGGTGGTACAGCCTTAAAGAGCTTGGCTCGTCACCAGGGAGTCAGCGGTTTGAATCCACCAGGAGAACAATGAGGAGTCAGCTTCCATAAACACCACCACCCGGGCGGCCCTGTGGGACAGTTCCAGTCCACCCTGCAGGGTCGCCGCGAGTCCTAACCCACTGGACAGCAGCGGTGTCCTTCAGGAAGCAGCTGCTCCGTCCGCTGTCCACAGCAGGCAGCATTAGAGGGAGTTCTGTCCTGTCTCTGGGGCACAGTTAACGTCTTCTGTGTGCCTGTGATGGTGGGAGAGCCCTCTGGGAACCCCTGCTGACCTCGTGGGGTGAGGGACAGGAGGTCATCCACGGGCCGCCTCGTCTTAGCCAGCACCACTAGGGTCATGCCCACGTCCAGGGGAGGGAGGCTTTCTCATCAAAGCAAGAACGCAAGGAGGGCTCTGGGCTGTCTCTTCCACGTGCATGCTTGTGTATGCTAGGGCAGTGACCATTGGTACCCGAAGTGGGCTCCTGAAGGCCGGAGTGTGGTTGCACCTCTGAGTGAGGTTTGCTTTGGCGTGGCGCCCCAGACATTGTAGCTCCCCGACTGCTGGGCACCTGGCCCCCCGGGCAGCATGAGCCCCTGACTCCTGGCTCCTGTCCCCCTCGCCCATGGTCTTGGGCAGCCGGCCCCTTCCCTCTCGGGCCAGCCTCACTTGTGCCTCTGCTTGGTCCAGGAGGAAATGAACACGTGGATCCAGGCCATCTCGTCCGCCATCTCCTCCGACAAACACGAGGTGTCAGCCAGCACCCAGAGCACGCCAGCGTCCAGCCGGGCCCAGACCTTACCGACCAGCGTTGTCACCATCACCAGCGACTCCAGCCCCGGCAAGCGAGAGAAGGACAAAGAGAAAGACAAAGAGAAGCGCTTCAGCCTTTTTGGCAAAAAGAAGTGAACTCCTGTCCTCCCACCTCCTGCCCTCCTCCTCCCTTTCCTGTGAAATTCCAGCATGCAGGTCCAGAACCAACACATTACTCTCTGTGCCTAATGTTCCTCAACGTGGTTGATTTCTTTTTTTTTTTCTTTTTTTCCTTCTTCTTTTTTAATTTATAGAGCATTTCTGGGGGGTGGGAGGGGGACAAAACCAAATAAAACAACAAAACCACACTTAAACACTTTAACTCCAAGTTCCAAAAGTCTGAGGTGCAGAGGGAAGACCAGATTTTTTTTTTAAATGAAAATTATATAGATTAGGTCTCAATATTTAAACTATTCCTCAATTTTGTGAGGCCGTGTTGGAAAGAACCCGCCTCTACTACTGTTGGTTGGCAAGGTCGCGGTGCTCAATCTCTCCTTCGCTCACCAGACACACACAGCGTACCCATTTCCTGACACTGTTCTCTTCCATTTACTCCTGAAGGACCCCCCCCACCCCAAGTCCGTTAGGAGGGCCCACCGGGGGTCTGACCGTGATTAGACAGATGATGTATCCGGGGCTCACTACGGCCATAGCTCCACTTTAACCCGACAGACCAAACCGTTCGTATCTGGCATCGCTTAACTAACACACGACACGCGCCTTTCTCCGTGTTCTCAGCGATGGTTAAGAATGTGGGTCAGCGAAAAGGAATGGGGGAAAAAAATCGATACTGTTTTAAATAATCTGTAATTTCAATTTTTTTTTTTGCCGAAATACATTATATTGTATGTTTGAGAATTCTAGTACAAAGTATAATAAAGCTAGATGTATAATAAACCCTTTAAATCATTGCTAAGTAAGTGTCTAAGTGGAACGGAAGCATTTACCGGACGAAGTCCTGTCACTCTGCTGGTTACTAGTTCGCGTGTTATCACACCCGTTCTCATTTGCTTCATTTCCTGGCTCTTTGATACATAGTGTGCATCTCCCTGTCACCGTAACTATTGTAACGACAAACGTCCATCTTACTGCACAATCAAAACGGCATCTGATAGGGATGAAAACCAGAGGCCGGGCCTGACCAAGAGGGGCGTCAGGCCTGGTGCCCCGTTGTCCGACCCGTCCCTCTCAACCTTTGCCCTATCTGTGAAATATATGCTATGTCATTAAATGCTTTTAAATCTACCACAGTGGGTAACTGGTCTTTCCTCTCCCGCATGCACGCCAGGCGGAGGACCTTAGCAATGCGGGAAACCCCAGACGGGAAGGATTCTCAGCCTGTGTTGAGTGAGAGAGAGAGAGAGTGTGTGTGTGTGTGTGTGTGTGTGTACACACGTCAGCTCTGGAAACTGCAGCACCATGAATCCTGAATGTGGAATGCTTTGCTATCATAGATTATTTTTTTCTTTTTTTTTTTATGGAAGAATAAATTTATCAGTGTTTGCAAAACCTGAGCTCCAAAGGAGGAACGGGCAGACCTTCCCTGTGAAGGGCCAGCGGACAGTATTTTAGACACTGGGTCCGGACAGGCCCTCAGTTGCTCAGCTCTGCGGTGGTGGCTGAAAAGCAGCCATTGGCATACGTTTAGACTGGTAGCGTCCCAACAGCATTCACCTTATGGCACCAATTTGAATTCCGTCTCATTTCCATATTCCACAAGATAATATTTGTATTAACCCCCCAAATATTTAAGAATGGAGGGGAGGAAATAATTACCAAAACTCAGGCTGTGTTGCTGTGGGCTTTCAGCTTTTCAGAGGAGATTGCTCATTTTTCTCCTACAGAGCGTCTGGTGGATTTGAACCTGGTGTCTTTTGAGTGGACAGTGATGAGATAACTCATCACTAAACCATTAAGTAGAACTCCCTGTGCCATACAGAAACAGGCGATTTAGCCCTTGGACATTAGTTTTCTGACTGCCCCAGCATGGGGCCTTAGGGGTGATTGGTGGCATTCTACTTGCTTTATTATTCCTTGGAGAGGGCCACATGCTTGGAGGGGAAGAGGGTCAGGGAAGGAGAGGAAGACCTTCGATCAAGTGGATTGGCATGGTGATTGCCGCAGTGGGCTGTCGGGAAGTGTGACGATAGCACAGGATAGGATGGGGTTAAAATCTTTTGCTCATAGGGTTGCTAGGAGTCTTAATCAATGGCACCCAACAACAGCAGCTTGACAAAGCATGCACATAGCAGGAGGGCTATTTCCCAAAGGGAACTCACCAGTAATCTCGAGATTTCTTACAAAATGCTTGCAAATCAAAACCAATGCATGAAATCCCAGACGTTCATGGCCCCCGGATTATGCAATCTGGGCTTGGTGTTACTAGCTGTCCCTTCCTGTGCTAACAGAAGTCACTGAGTCCTGATAGTGAAGAATGGCCTGGGCAGGAGACTTGGGAAGCTGGCTTTCTGGGTCATCAGGAGATGGTGTGAGAGGTTCTGTTAGAAAACCCACATCAGTGGGAGCTCTGGTGGCCTAGTGGTAAGGAGCTGCAACTACA